TCTTGAAACCTCTTACAGGAGCCACCTCTGTGGCCCCTTCCCCCGCTACCAAAACGCTATCAGACACCAAACCACCACAAGTAATGACAGTGAAGAGCGTGCAGAGGAGAGCTGCAGAAGGTGCAGGACCTTGTAGAATTCTGCTGGAGGGCCAGTGGAGTCAGAGGGAGCAATACATGGTCCTCTTGGTTCTGGACTCCCTGGACTGGATTGAGCAATGCCTGAATTGATTAACCTATTTTGGTGTTTTGTAAGAGGAGAGACCTCATTGTTTCATCCTAGAGTCCCATAAGGAACGTAGTGCATATGCTCAATGGACAAAGGGAGAAAACAGGTCCTCAGAGCAAAACAGAAGCAATATGAACTGTTAAAAGTAGATGCGCAGCCAGTACCTGCGCTAGAGAAATTGGAGGAGACTAGATGTTAAAAAAGTACGGATGGGAGGCAGCTGTTGGTGATACAGAATTCAAGAGTAACCCTGTGTATTGCATCCCTCAGACTAAGCTTTAGAGCATTGATGCAGGTAAAACTCTGAAAAGTAACTAATACCTTCGTCCTTAAGAGCCCCTTCAGTTTCAGTTCTAGGACAGTAATAAAAGGTGGTGAGTGAGTGGGAGTTTGGTTGGGGTGGAGTTTTTTTGAGAGTGTGGTAGGTAGGAGATACTGGCTATAAGAAAATTCCACAGTCTGAGCTGCTAAAGCCAGTGTAACCAAAGTGTGTTAATACTTCGAGTGTACCTCTCGAAGAACTCATAATAGTATTTGAATTAACAGCTGTTAAAAGCTATTGTGTTCTATAAGTCTGTTCAGAAGCCAACACTTTCTTTGTCAGCAAGATTAATGAAGTATTAGAAATACCTAATTAAAATTCAGATATGTTTGTTTCTTAAACACCTTGGTAATACTATGCAGATTAATTTTTTTTTTAATTTCCTGCTTTTAGATGATCTGTGTATTTTCTTAGAATAATGTTAGTGTATCACTGTACAAAATTCCTAAATTCTCACTATCAATTTAAAGAATCAACTATTGGCTGATCATGGGCATAATCCACTGATGAAGAAAGTATTTGATGTATACCTCTGCTTCCTTCAAAAGAATCAGTCTGAAACAGCATTGAAAAATGTCTTCATTGCTTTAAGGGCACTGATTTTTAAGGTAAGAAGTTTAAAAATAATTAATCTTCAAGCACTTATCCAGTTCTTTAGTTAACAATATACTATGTAAAAATTTAAGGACTAAAATCACAAATTAAAATTAGTGAATGAGGACTGATCTTATCACAACGGTGTGGAATGCTTGACCTTTGAATTGCTATAAAAATAATTTTGTATCATGAACTATAACTGTCTGTTTTTTCCACGGTTTGGGAATATTAATATATTTGTACTTTTCTTGACATGTTTATTTTATCAAAAAACTGAAGCTAGTTTTAATGAATAACTTCTTTCTTTTCTGTTTTCTCCTCAGTTTCCTTCTACATTTTATGAAGGTAGAGCTGATATGTGTTCTGCACTGTGCTATGAAATTCTGAAGTATTGTAATTCCAAACTGAGTTCAATTCGTACTGAAGCTTCACAGCTGCTGTACTTCTTAATGAGAAATAATTTTGATTACACAGGAAAGAAGTCTTTTGTTAGGACACATCTGCAAGTTAGTATATTTTCTTTATTTTTTGTTTTTTAAATACTGTATTTGTAGATGCACAGTTGCATACCAGTGTGCAAAGCCCTGTAAGATAAAGACATAAAAGAAAAGATTTTTGGTTCAAGCAAAGCTTGAAAATTCTAAGAGGAAGAAGATGGCTATAAAAGTGTGTTCAGTACAAGGAAGTACTTGGAAACAATCGGATGGCCCTGTGTTTCATAGGAAATCATTTCTGCTTGTCAGTAGCAAATGTTCTGGATTGTAGATGTTATTGTGATCGTTAAATGACGTACCCTGTTGTGTCTGAAGAGGAAAAGAACGCAGCAACAAGCACGTAAAAGTCTAAAATAAAACAAATGCATAGAAAATCATGTGTTCTGACAAAACTGGGAACAATAGTTTAGTAGTTTTATGACCTCTGGCTAGTTCACCTAGCAGTCAGTCTTGAGAGCAGAGGATGTGTATGCATTAAATTTACACAAGCCTGGTTTTTCTTGCGTATGTTACTGTACAAACAACTTTGAAAGAAATCAAATATAATTTTACTTAAGGGAATAATCTTTCAATTAAAAAGAACAAATCTTCATTTGTAATTGCTTCATAGGTACATCTCAAGGGTATTTCATGAAATATGCATTAACAAGACATTTGTTTCTGTCAAGGTTATTATTTCAGTGAGCCAGTTAATTGCTGATGTTGTTGGAATTGGAGGAACTAGATTTCAGCAGTCTCTTTCCATCATCAATAATTGTGCCAATAATGACAGAATTATAAAGGTCTGTTTTTATTCTTCTTTCCATACTGTAGAAGGATGCTTGAAAACTCTTTCATAGCATCTTTTGCAGTTATGTTTCAACTTTTTATTATGCAAAGAATAGGAAAAGGTTGTAGTTAACCTAACTTTTCTGTGTTTTAGCACACTACGTTCCCTTCTGATGTTAAGGATTTAACAAAACGAATTCGTACAGTACTGATGGCTACAGCTCAGATGAAGGAGCATGAGAATGATCCAGAAATGCTTGTAGACCTCCAGTACAGTTTGGCGAAGTCTTACGCTAGTACACCTGAATTAAGGAAGACGTGGTTAGACAGCATGGCAAGGATCCATGTTAAAAATGGAGATCTTTCAGAGGTAAGAGAAAAAAGTCAAGCTAGTTTTAGTTTCATAGTAAGCTTAAGCTTGAAATTCAGTGTACTATATGTAGTTGTTAGTGTGTAATATAATAAGCATTTTTAATAAATATTGAATTGTTAATAGATTAGTTTCAATAGTTGATAACTTTTTGTCCTTTCCAAGTACATCTGCAAGTCATTTCTGATGACTAATGTAAGGTATATGTTTAACTAGTGTAGCTGACACACTACTAAGCCAGGAATGCTCAATGCAAACCATGGATGACACAGACCACCTACTTAAAGATATCATTGTTATCAGTTGCTAAAACACTTAAAGCCACTCCTTGAATTCACTCCAGTTGCCTTTACAGAATTAGCTTGATTCTATTCCAGACTGCTTATAAAAAAACTCCTAATGTTCTTCAAATTGACAAATCACAATTTTTTTGTTTGAAAAAAGAAAGCTGTCTGATTTCACTGTGCTGTTACAATATTCAGCTCTAGCAAAAAGGAGAGTTTGGAGTGGGGATTTTTATATGTCTTGATGTAAGTATTTTATCAGCCTACAGAATGAATTTTTTCTCTTTCTGGAAGTTTGTTCCATCTGAAAGTAAATCATGTTGTATGACATCAGAGAATGTTAGGCGTTGGAAGGGACCTTGAAAGATCATCTAGTCCAACCCCCCTGCCAGAGTAGGACCACCTAGAGTAGATCACACAGATGACATCATTGAATTTCATAAACATGTCTGTTAAACTTAGTATCATGAAAGTAAGTAAATATCTCCAAGAAACAGTGGCTGCTGTCTTATTTACTCATGCCTTAGTACTAGACTCCTTTTCTTCTATATGATAGCAACACAGAAGGCATATATAATACTCCATTATTAGCTTGTATTTTGAAGCAAACAACTTCAGCTCTCTTAGAAGACAAGCTTTTTTAGTCCTTTTCAGGTCTGTTTTTCATTTTTTTTTATTAAAAACTTAGAATCTTTGACCATACAACTAGATGAGTACCTCTATAAATCCCCAAGCCCAACCCCATACAAGGTATAAGTTAGAATTTCTGAGAGATATTTAACTTTTTCCTTCACCTCCAATGTTTGAGATTCTGCAGCCTCCATTTGGAAACTCTTCAATTGAGAATTACAGTTAGAATAACACTTTTGCTGTAAACCTAAACCTTTTTAGTAAAAGAAGAATCTTGAATCTTTTTTTTTGTCCTTTCTGTGGAGAAAAGTGATCAGTGTCAACTTTATAAGACATCTCATATATTTGAAGACTACTCTGTCCCTGTTCTTTTTCTTCTGTTTTCCAGACTGCACCAACCAAATTCCGTCCATAGGTCAGATCTCTTTTTCTTTTGCTGCTTTCAAATGGTCTGTCACCAATTTTTTCTACATTTTTCTTGGTCTGGAGCCAAAAGGCAGACAAAACAGTTTAGCAGAAGAACCATCAAATATTGAGTAGAATAATTAATAGCTCTTTTGTTTCACATAACACTTAAAATACATCCCCAAAAGAAATTTGCCTGTTTTTATCATAGCGTGGTGCTCCTGCCTTGTAATTTGGTCACTTGGTCACTTTTATACTGCTGTCCATGCTACTCAGTGCTCTGGGAACGAAGGAGTAAATGCTCTTGCACAGTTACTGTTTTGCATAAATGAGGTGGAGAATTTTTACGCCAGTCATAGGACATCTTCTGCAAAGCAGCAAAAAGAAAAACCAAAGAAGTTATCTCAGGCTAGGGCTCTTATGTACCTTGGGTTTAGTAGTTCCGTTATCATAGTGATTCATAAGGCTGTTACTGTTTCTGTTTTAGGCGGCAATGTGCTATGTCCATGTAGCAGCACTGGTTGCAGAATATCTCACACGAAAAGGTATGATTTTGAAATCTTACTTTAATGTTGATATTTTTTCATGATAGTTTAGGAAAAGCAATCATTTCCCTGAGGAAACTGTAGGCATTTCAGTGTTCACCAAGGAAAAAATTCTAACCTAACCAGATAGCATACTCACGTATTTAAGAGTACATCTGCGTATCTAAGGGGCAGCATTTCAGATTAAGGTATAGTAAAATTTTTAGGAAAGTAAAAATTTTAATTGTACACCACAGCTGCTAATAGCTGAAGTCAGACCCTTTCTAAAGCAAACTTGTAAGTGGATATTTATGTTCAACAAGTAGTCTCTCACTGCGTATGGGGAAACTCATCATTGCCAGAGAAGTCAAAAGAAATGCGTACAAATCTTCGGATGCTGAGCCAGTGATAATAGTGCTCAGAATGCTTCACCTGTCTTGGTGTTCTGTGCTAGCAGCTGTCTGTAAAAGTGGGTTTCTGATGATCCTTGAGATAGGGTAGAAAACTGTCTTTCATCTATAGGATCAGAAGAGTTCTCAGGTATTTGAGAAAATAAAATATTATATGGCTTTTATTAAGGAAAATAGATCTCTAGAAGAAAAATTCAGAAATCTGTTAAGACTGATTATGATGTTGAGCCAGTGTATGTTTTTTGTAGGCAAATTCATGTTCGCAGCTTTTTAGCTGTGCCTTTGCATGACAGTTCAAAATGAAGCAAAGTCCTGGGTCTACAAGATGCATTTTCTCTGTTCTTTTTGTGCCGTTTGCCAGATACTTGTGTAGTGTCTAGGCTGTCCCCTCTGCCCCAGTGATTTCAGAGGCTTCTCTGAGACCAAATCTGAAACTAAGTTGCTTGTCAAAGTTACTGTGTCCTCTTGGAAGCCTGATAAAAACTAACTGTTAACTAATGATAATCTGTATTAATTTGTGATTCCTTTGGGTGATCTGCTATTTTTGTCTACTGTCATATAAAAGTTATTTCTTCTCGGCAATACAGAGGGTCGAACTTCTGCCTGAGGTATTTCCGGGAGCAAAACGAAACCATGCATTTGAGGCAATCATTCTATAAACCTATGGTGATCAGAAGCCCAGCTGAGCAAAAAGTGTCTTTGTAGGAATGAGCTGTGAAATAAATACTTGCAAGTCCTTGTGCTTCTGTAGTATTTAGTGGTTGTTCTTGAGGCTTTAATTAATGCAGTTTTTGGCCAAAAATCCTGATTTCTTAATTCAGCAATCTGATATAATAAAAAAGAACTAAAAAGAACAGGTGAAAGAGGTAGGTTTCATGTTAGAACATTCTAAAACCCATCTTTGCCAAATACTTATTTCAGTAAAGGAAGTTAGATTGCTGGGGTTTTGTCTTGCTTGTCGGCTCACTTTCTGTATGTACAGCTCAATAACCTCATTTGCCATCCCTTGATCGTTTTGTGTGGTTGGTGTTAGTCCATTCATATTTTTCAGACTGATATGCTGGGATGTATTTGTGTACACAGTTCCAGCATGACTTCATGCCATCTTAATTAAATACTGTAAAAGTTACCTTGATTACTTTAGACTTAGGGTAGGGTAGATTAGACACAGGTTTAAGATAAAATAGGAAGATTCAGACACTACTTATTTTGATAAGTAAGAGTCCAGGTATTAACGTTTGTGGGTTTTTTAAAATGTATTTGTACTTACACAGTAATGTAAGGTTTAGTATTTTAATCATGCAGTAGGAGGCTGGATTTTTTTTATTTATTTATCAGTTTGGTGGTAAGTATATTTAAATATGGTTTCTGCCTTATCCAGCGTCACAGAATGGCCTAATGTTATCTTGGCAGAGAAAAGTAAATTTGTCTGGTTTTCTTTTTCAATGACAGGGATGTTTAGGCAAGGCTGTATTGCTTTCAGAGTAATCACACCTAATATAGATGAAGAGGCTTCAATGATGGAGGATGTTGGAATGCAAGATGTTCACTTCAATGAAGTAAGTAAACATAAGAGTGTTGAAACTGAGGCACACTGAAGTGCTGTTTGCTTTCCCAAGTTTTGTGTTTCAGGCTGACTAATATGATGGATATTATAATTGTTTTCTTAGCTGCTATTCTTGTCTTAAAACGGAAATAAAAATTTTCTGTGAGCTGTCCTAGCTTCAGAGAATTTACTATATACATATATATTTTAAATAAAGCACTAGCACATCAACTCAACACTACTATTGGAATAAAAAGTAGGCAAAATGGGTTTTTAAGCTAGTTGACAGGATGAACACTGATGTGGCTTATTTATTACAGGTAACAAGATTTGTGGGTTTTGAAACTGACTTTGATTTAGGTTGTTACTACACGAGCAATCACGAAAATGTGCTCACTGGGTTTTCCTGGTTTACAGTTTCCCTAAGCAAATATGCCATAACAATGAAAGTGGTTTTACTGACACCAGACTTACGTCAATGGGGTTTTTTTGTTTCTGGCTTTTCACTCCTTGTGTCTTCGCTGATCCGTCTATGCTGGCTGTACAGTACATTTTACTGTTAAGAAGCCTATATGAAAAGATTATGAATAATCTTGCTCATGAAGAGCTACGTCTGCACTGTGTATTTGCCAGTATAGGTGGGGGAGGGAGGGACAGACCACAACTTGCAGTAGCTGTGTTAGAAAAATCCCTGGTGTGTAAGCATAGTTGTCCAACAAGAAAAAATTTTTCTTTTATGTTTTAGTTTGTACACGGTAAGGTGTGTGACAGAGCTATTTGACTGTGCAAATTATGACTGTACTAACAGACTTAGGAGGAACAGATGAAAAACTTTAAGCCTGAGTTTTACTCCTAAATTCGGGTACTGCTTTGCTCTATAGTTTCAAGACAAAAATTCTTGACTTGCCTTTTTCTGGGAAGGCAGGAGTTAGAATTACTTGAAATGAGAAATATAGTGCTTTTTCTTTCCAAAGACGCCCAATAGCAGAATGCTTTTTTTGACTTTATGTGCTATATTCTTTAGATCACTGATTCTCCTGATCCTGCATGGAATTCAGCATGTTACTCAAAGCGAAGTGTAAGCTGCTCTAAGTGAGCCAGGAGTTGGCTTTCTAGTGACTGCTGCTGATGGAAACTTTTGTTAGAAATTCTTCTCAGTGTATACCTGACAAACCATTTGTCAGAGCTGAATTCTTTTGTATTTTTTGAAATTGGAATGTCTTTATTCTTTTCCTCATTAGTCAGTCCCTGCAAAAAAGGATATACTGCTTTTTCTGGGTCATTGAACCCTACGCAAATTTCTTTCCATCTCTCAGTATTTCCATGGAACGGAAGTAAGCCAAGAGCAAAGTTATAAGCCCGTGGAGCTTGCGAAAGGATCAAACCTTGCCAAATTTCATTTTTCCCTGCATGCAACCCTTTTTAAACTTAACCATGTACTACTCTAGCTGATTAAATATTTTTAAAGTTACTATTTTTCGGAGAAGTTCTTATACTTCACTCTGGGAGAAGTAATAATAGGGAAGAGCTGTTTGGAGTTTAGTAGACTAAAAATCATGATAAATTAAGATGACTAGTATTTTACAGAAGTATTTCAAAACGGGTAGTCTAGTTCCTTCATGAATAGGAACGTATTCATATGTGGAATATTTCCTCAGTATCTTCTTATGTAAGCAAAACTCTATTAGTCTAAGAAAAAAGAAAGTCATATGACAGATAAATTTAGTACAGACATCAGAAAGCAAAAATATATTTTTCAAGCTGTACTTTACTGGTCCTGAGCAAAATTATGCTTTGATGAGAATTCTTCCTATATGTGGTAACAAGAGTCATGTGGAATTTCTTTCTTAAAACTTGGGATTTCCCTGGATGCTAGTTATATTAGAGTTAAATCTCTAAAAGAGTAATTAGAAGTATGGGGGGTCAGGGAGGATACCTGTATGTTTCTAAAAGAGGCAAAACATCTTTCATATTCTTCAGTTTATATAAAGTCTTCCCTTAAGACTTTATGTGGTTTCTGATTTAAAAAAATGAAACTTTTAAAATTCTCAGTTCTCATTTTAAAAGAGTTCTCTCCCAGGCCAGGGTTACCCTGACTCATTTCCTAAACTAGCCAGTTGTAAAAATAAACTTTTGGTTTTCAACAAAGGTACTGTTTGCATTTCATTAAAACAGTTTCATAAAACCTAGACAGCCTATTCAGCAGCGTAAATCAGATTCTCCTTGCAGAACTAAAAATCTTCTGGCTGTCAGAAATAGGAACGTAAAAGCCTGGAACCTGCTGTCCTTTCCATGCTAGACTTTGCTGTTAGCAGTCCATCTGTGAGAGATCTGAGCTGTGGCTAACCAGCCTGTGGCAGGTGCCAGATTCCATGCAGATTAAGATTGGAAACAATTTCATTAAGATTTTCTGGGTTTTTTTCCAAAATAAACGCTGCCAGAATACAGCTCCACCACAGATATTAAGTCAATCTCTACCTTCCTATTTGGTTTTTTTCTGGTCTCTTGTTAGACATGACTTTCCATGGGAGGAGTTATTCTAACTTGCAGATTAGATAATGGAAGAGCTTCACAGCTCAGATGGTATTATAGCTCTTGTAAGTGATCAACATGCACTGTAATTCAATATATTAAAGCACTTTATGAAAAACAGAAATAGATGCTTACCCAAACATGCAAGATACTTTAAGTATGGTGGTGAAAGCTGCTATTTTTCAGGGATACTCAGGCTGATATTGTTTAACATCTTTATTAGCAATCTAGGTTATGGGCTACGGTGTGTCGTCACGTTTGTGGATGAAACTAAATGGGGGAAAAGTGACATGCCCAGGGGGCAGGGCTGCCGTTAGAGGGACCTTAGACTGAAGGAACATGGAAGCCTCTCAAAGTTCTACAAAGACAAGTGCAAAGCCTTGCATCTGCGAAAAAAATCACCCAGTGTCTCAGTACGGACTGGGGATGCACTGGCTGGGCAGAGCCCTCCAGAAAGACCTGGGAGTTCTAGTGGACAAGAGTTTGAATGGGAATCAGCAGTGTAGCCTTGTGGCAACAAAGGCCGACTGCATGCTGGTTTGTATTGGAAAGAGCAGAGTCAAGCAGTGGAGGGAAGTGGATTTTCCCCTTCCTTCTTGGCATTTGTAGCACCTCATCAGTAATCTTGTGCCTGGTGCTACCTCCTGAAGTCAAGAGAGAGCAACAAACCTGAAAAAGTCCAGATACTAAGGCGGTTAGGGGAAGAGCCAGACTCAAGGTGCACAATAAAAGAGTAAGAGGCAGTTCTCACAGGCTATATGGAGGACTCAGATTGGATATATGGGGAAAAAACCCTCTTCCCATGGGGGTGGATAAGCACTGAGACAGGTGGCCTGGAAATGTTGTGGTCTTTTCCTCCTTCCTATCAGCTTTCGCACATGAAGCTTTTGCTCTTTCTATTTTTTTCCTGTGTGCAAACACTATTACACTTCTTTGCTGCATTTGGATGCCCTCTGGTGTCGTGTTAAGACTCTTTGCGTAAAACAGTGGTGGTGGACAGCGATTGTGGGCCAGCAGTGACACTGGTCTTTCTGTTCTCACCAGCTGGTTGCTGAGGATGGAAATATTGGGGAGTCTATACAGCCCCATAATGATTGGGGGAGAGGAGGAGATGTTTTAGGCATCATTGCGGCACACAGATAAGGGTAGAATTTTTCAGTGGCTTTTTGCTCTCAGTATTAAAGTTGGCTTTTCTTAGTGATGTCTTTATGCTGTCTTAGTCCTCTACCAAAGGGAGGAGGGAAACAGAGTAGCACTGGATCCCTTCTAAAGGTAAAAGGAGTTATTTCCAGCTTCTGGCTTTGCCACTGTGATGCAAAACTGGTACCGGAAGGTCCCGAGAAGTAGAAATGTCATGTCTTCTGACACCACTCAGTCTCAGACTTGGATTTTCTTGGAAGGTCTTGGAGCTCAAGACACGTTTTAAGAGGACTGAGATGAATTAGGGTATGTGGATGGGAATGGGCTTCTTCACAGTGATTCCATCACACTCAAGCCGTGACCAAGTATATGACAGGTTTGTCACAGGAGCTATAAGCTGTTCCGTAATATCTGTAAAATTGTTTGTTATAACTGAATTGATGGAGTTAAACAAGTATTTTTAAATTCATGAAAACTAGAGCAAAGTAATAATGTTATCTTAGTTCTTCGTGAAAAACCAAAAAAAAACCACAAAGAAACAACACTTGGGGAAAAAAAAAAGCCATGTTACAAGGTAAGACAAGGGTCTCAAGGTCAGACTAATAAAGAGTGGGTCCTCACACAGGTGTTATTTGTAGACTTAAGAGGTCAGGAGTATCTAAAAGAAAAATGCTGATAAATACAAAGGGTACATGTGTACACTCAGCCCATTCTGTTTTGTTTTGTTTCCTTTCAGCAATTTTTGATTGCCACAATAATTTAAAATACTATGTGTAGCTAATTTTATTTTGAGGCAAGATCTCCCTTTTCCTTGGGAAGAACTTTGGGGGGTTTATTTATTTATTTTTTACTTTGCTTTTCACGAGTCCTGAGTTGTTTTACTTTTTCAAATGTGTATCCAAATCTAGGATGTGCTGATGGAATTGTTGGAGCAGTGTGCTGATGGACTCTGGAAGGCAGAACGCTATGAACTCATTGCTGACATATATAAACTTATAATTCCAATTTATGAAAAACGGAGAGATTTTGAGGTACTAAATTCATCATAAGTAAATTTGAGCAAGAAAACCCATAAATTTTCTAGTCTAACTGCATGACACATTGGACATCACAGATCAAAGATTATTAAAATTGTAACTGAAATACAAATGTGTTGAAATTTTTGTTTTAATTTTAAATAATTAAAAATGGTTTTCTTTAAATAAATATAAATATAATTAAATATTAATCTTACATATTGTCATTCTGATACAAGTGCTAAACCTATTGCTACTGCTCAATAAAACAGTGGGTTTAGTTGTTATTAACTACTAGGACATCATTTATTGTTGTTTAAGATAGGAAAGTTCTACATTATTCTTTTACTCCATTATTATAATGTTTTATTTTTAGAGGCTTGCTCATTTATATGACACTCTTCATCGAGCGTACAGTAAAGTAACAGAAGTTATGCATACAGGCAAGAGACTACTGGGAACTTATTTCAGGGTAGCGTTCTTTGGACAAGTGAGTATTATTTAACTTTCATTTGTCTGCTCTATGCAGTAAGAAAAAAATGAATTTATTTTACAAGGTATGCTATTTCAAGATACCATGACATGAAAAGTACAAGAAATGTGATCTGTAAGAAATTATTAACCGCCATCAATGATTTAATTTAAAACATCTATCAATTCTGATACAATTCTTCCTTATTTTCCTCAGTGAATTTTTTTCTTTTTTTTTTTT